AGAGATTATACACTGAAGAGAAATTAGGCTTGGTTTGTGCAGTGCTGGAAAAAAACACACAGGCTGTTCTGAACACAGTGGAAAAGGCTTAAAAGTTAGGGCTAACCAAGCCTTACAGTAAGTTACATTTATATTGCCTTTCTAAGCTTTGGTATTGTCTTCTTGAAAATGATTGGCTGGGCACCAAATTTGCAAAGAAGTGGTCAATTTCATTTTACAAACTGAGTGACTTTCAAGGGATTGAGCAGTTTCTATGCAAATTGAATACTTTAATGCCTATCAGTTTGTAGTACTGGGAGTAGTGCTTTGCCTTGAATTGACAAACAGTAGGTATCAGCTGCTCCAAGGAAGAAAGATGCGGCAGTCTGAGTCCATGAAGATTAAAGCTTTGGAACCCTATGGGGCAATTCTCTGTCCTATAGTATCACTATGAGTTGGAAGTGACTTGACAGCAACTGGGTTGGTTGGTTTTTAAGGCTTATATTAAGACAAGCCCCTTTTCGGAAACCCAAACAGGGTCACTATGAGTTAGAACTGACTTGGCTCAATGGCATTTAATACCAACAATAAAGACCTTCAAGGAGCTTCAAGGAGACCTCACTACCATCAAGAACAATCTGGAAAGCAGCGCATCCTTCAGACAAGGATCTAGAGGTACCTGGCTGAGAACCTCCTAACACAGAAGAGCGTACACTGAATACAGGGCAAGAGAAGCCTGAGTGTGCTTTATGCAGGGGTTGCATGCCACCCCCTTCCTCCTCTCTCCCCCAGTCTTGGGCAGCGTGGGTCCATGTAGGTTGGCAGCAAGAAAGCTATGCAATGCAATGAGAGATGCTTAGGGAATCCTGTGCAGGGAACTTCCCACAGGTGAGGCAAAGTCTAGCAAGACCCAAAGGCAGAGCAGAAGCCTCAGGTACCACGCAAGCCTCCCAGTAAGGTGTTAGCCAAAGGTAGCTGTGACAGAAACACAGCATCTGACCTGAACAATGTCACATCTGTCCAGAGGCATGAGAATGCGCAGAGGTAATTTGGGGAAGAGTAAATGTTTCCCCTTTGAGAGTGTTGTTTCTGTGTATTGTCTGCTTTCTATACATAACACACAGTTTTCACTTAGCCAACACTTACGATTATCTCGTATGTCCAGTTTGGTCATGGATGAATGTAGTATCCAGTGGGTATACATGCCTGGTTCCTAGAAGTCTATGGCTACCTGGAAGGTTGAGGCCCAACCTATCTGCACGTGCAATGCAGATAAGAAGACAGACATACCCAACACTGGGGTTTAAATCTCAGCTCCACTACCTCCTAGCTTTAAGTTAACCTCTTCTGTTTCACTGACTCAGTTTTAAAATGATTCTTACCTCACTCCACCAATTAGAATTTAAGACGAAAAATAAAAACCTCTTCAAATATTTACACCAGAGATAATTTAATGTAGGGAATTGATTACAGGTGATAGAAATACAGGACGCAGGTAAGAGAAGAGCTAGCTGAGACATAAAAAATGCTGTGACAGATAAGAAAATCAAGAGTGTAAAGATGTTTTCATGACTTCAAAAATAAGAAATTAAACAGCCAATGTTGATGAGGATATGAAAGAATGGAACCCTCATCGATTCCTGGTGGGAACGTAAAATGGTACAGCTATCTATGCTCCTCAAAAAGTTAAACAGAGAATTACTACATAACCCAGCAAATCCATTTCCAGCTACAAGGGGCTTCATAAAGTTTGTGACAAATCCTATTCTCTTTGTAATTCCACTTTTCATCAAACCTTTTGATGTCCCCACGAAAACACTCAAAAGAACTGAAAGCAGGAATGCAAACACTTGTATATCAGTGTTCATTGTAGCATGGTTCATCACAGCCAATCAAATTAAATGTCCATCAACTGAGGAATGGACAAATAAATGTAGTGTAAACTCGTCTGTCAGTTTGCCATACTGTGGTGGCTTGTGTGTTACTATGATTCTGGAAGCTATCCCACCAGCATTTTAAATGCCCGCATGGTCACCCATGATGGAAACGTTTCCGCTCAGCTTCCAGACAGAGGCAGGTTAGGAAAAAGGAGACACAGACTACTTCCAAATATTTACTCTCTGAACACTTTATGAATAGCAGTGGAACAATGTCAGCACCAGAATATTGAATACTGAAACATGATGAAGAGCACCAGAATATTGTCACCTATAGTGCCAGAAGGCACTCAAAATATGAGCGGGGAAGAGTTACCTCCTCAAAGTAGAGTTGACCATAATAATGCAAATGGAGTACAACTTTTGGAACCTGTATTTATTTGCTGATGGATAACAAGTCAAAACGTGGAGAAATGGCTGAAAACATCCATTATATAATCAGAACACGGAATGTTCTAGAAAAATTGGAAATTGTCAAAAATACAATGGAATGCATCAACACCAATATCCTAGGCCTTCTTGGGCAGAAATGTACTGATGTTGGCCACTTTGAATCTGACAAATGCGTGGTTTACTATGCCAGGAATGACAAATTGAAGAGGAATGGAGTTACATTCATGATCAAAAAGAATATTTCAAGATCTGTCTTGAACTACAACACTGTTTATGATAGGATAACATCCAAATGCCTACAAGAAAAACCAGTTAATAACTACTCTTATTCAAATTGACGCACCAACCAATAAAGCCAGTGAGGATGAAATTAAAGAATTCTACCAACTTCATTCTGAAATTGACCAAACATGCAATCAAGATGTATTGATAATTACTAGTGATTGGAATGCCAAGGTTAGACACAAAGAGGAAGGGATCAGTAGTTGGAAAGTATGGCTTTGGTGATAGAAATAATGTTGGAGATCACATGATAGAATTTTACAAGACCAATGACTTCCTTATTGCAAATACCTTTTTTAAACAATATAAAAGACAATTCTACACATGGACCTCACCATGGAATAAACAGAAATCAAATTAACTACATCTGTGGAAAGAGACAGTGCAAATGCTCCATTTCATCTGCCAAAACAAGGTCAGGGGCACATTGTGGAACACACCATCAATTGCTCATATACAAGTTCAGGATGAAGCTGAAGAAAACTTAAACAAGACCACCAGAGCCGAAATATGACCTTGAACACCTGAATTGAGAGATCATCTCAAGAACAGATTTGATGCATTAGACACTAATTACTGAAGACCAGAAGAGTTGTGGGATGACATCAAGAACATGAAACAGGAAGAAAGCAAAAGGCTATTAAAAAGACAGGAAAGAAGAAAAAGACCAAAATGGATG